TTCCTGATTATCAATTATGGTTCCTTATGAATAATAAATCTGATGTTGATCACAGGTGTCAGATTTAATTAAAATTTTCCTGTCACCAACATTGCAAACGGGTGTTTTCACACCATCTCATCCCTATGGATTTTTTCCACAGGTGAGACACTTACAAGCTGGAAGGCTTTGGACAAAACCTCTCTTATCTTCCCCTCAGACCAGACTTGCTGTTGCCATATGAGCATTGATAATTGATAGCTGGTGCCTGTGTGATGATTGCTTTGTGTTATACCCCTCTCTAGAATAAAGCTGGTGTCTGCAACTGGTTCAAAATCCTCCAGCTTGGAGGGTTGTTGTCCCTGGGTTCAGAGTTTTGAGTCCTGGGTTGCTATCTTGTTGGTGACACACCTGCTCACCAATAACCTACCCCATTTAAAAAACAAATTCAATTGGTCAAATAAAAATTAAAGAGACAGAAAATTTGGGAAATGATTAATTTATACCAAACAAAATCTGAACCATTTTATGACTTTTTCTTGTTGGCCACATTGCTAGCAAAGATATATATAATCATGTGATAATTTTAATCTATAGGACAGGGGACTGATTGGGCAAAACCATTCAATCCCCTACCCAAAATTATTAAATTGGTTAATATCAGAGAAACGGAGCATTTATGAAAATGATTATACAAAACAAACACTATTTTACAACTTTCCTCTTAACATCAGAGCCCAAGTGCAATTTCAGGGCCACCAACCCCACCCTGGATTGTGACCTCCTGTGCTTGGAACGAATTGCAGATTCTCTTAATATTCCTCCAGAGTTGCAACATCTTGGTCTCATTGCCCTAGAGTAGGGATCGTTGCAGGCAACTTTTCAGCCAACGTGCCAGCAGCCATCTCTGGTCTGGTGCTGTAAAGATTAGTTGAAAGTATCCTTGACGATTGATGCAGTCTTGATAAATTCCAGGGCCAAACTCCCCTCCCCTGGAATTCTGTTGCATTGTTGTATCATCGAGGGTGACTCAGTCAGATTAGCCTTGTGTACATGAGGAAGGTGTGAGAATGACTGTAAGTGTTCAAGGCAGCGTGTGTGCTTCAACGCCTGCCAACTTCCGATAATCAAAGATTGCATATTTGAAATGTTTCATTTTAAATGGTGTGTTGCCTTGATATCTTCTTGTGAATATAATATTTATAATAATATTAATATTATTAATTATGTAAAACAAAATATTATCAATGAAAATCTTGTAATTACCCCAGCAAGATCTGCTCGCGTTTTGATTTCCAATTAAAATGTTTATATAAAATATAAATAAAAAAAAGTACCTCTGGTTAGTTATTAACACGTACTCTTTAGAGCCAAACCAAACCATACCAAACAACATCACTCGCGTTTTGTCACCTTGGACTCTGTCAAAAAATAAATTGTTTTTTGTTTTTCCAAAAAAAAATTCAATCAATTCGCATCTGTACTACCAAAAAAAAACCAATAGGATAAATAATTAATGTGTACGCATCGATCAAATAACAAACTTCTTTCAACAATGTCAAAAAAAATACAAACAAGAACCAAACAACAAAATTACATTGAAGATGTTATTTCTGGGTAAGTGTTTTAAGAATGGTGGTGGTTATTGCCCGCCACTCGTCGTTACTCTAGTTTATATATAAAGATTGGTGGTTATTGCAATTGTTGCCACGCGTCATCACTCTGTTAATTATAAACTTTTTTTTTATTAGTGAAAATAAAGAAAATGATGAGAGGGTATTTATTTCAATAAAATATTATTTTAGTATTCAATATTGTAAACACTAATTCAACATAAAATAATTTTTATATATAATTATTCTCTGCACAAACAATCATCCTCTTTAGAGTTGGAGAAAGAAGGTCAAGGAATTGGAGTTAGAGGTGAAAAAGTTAAAAAGAAAAATAAAAAGTGTTGAAGGTAAAGATCTCGAATGTAAATGTTGGGTTATACATTGAAGGCTGATAAATATTCTAGTTCATGCATTATTTTTGGTATCCTGTATTTTTTTTATAATTTTGATCTTTTTTATTTTTTTTTTTTCACAATATAGAAGAAAGTGCCAAACAACAAAAATTATTTCATCCTAATGCTGAAGAATATAAGATTTCTATATCTAACAGCAGTATATTATTATATTTGCAATTTTTTTTTCACACTTGTTTAGCTAAGTTAATCTTGTATAAAACGTTTTATTGCTAGGGAGTTACTTTCCAGTCTATCAATCCAACTTTGAAGATATTTGTCACTCAAATGGTGTTTATGTTGACAAGACACAATGGATCTCAAAAATTGTTATAAGAAAGGCAAAATATTTTGTCTCACGCCCACGCAAATTTGGGAAGTCTCTTTTCCTATCAACTCTTGCAGCATTTTTTCTCAATAAATATCACTTATTTGATGATCTATACATTCAAAAATGTAATCTTTCACTTTTAATCCAAGGTCAGAATGTTTTGTGGTCATCAACTATGGCTGCATTTCCAGTCATCCTGCTTGACTTTTCAAGAGATATTGAGTATCACAAAGGCAAGGATCTATTGGAAGAATCATTGACAGACAAATTGAAGGAAATTGGTGAAACATATGGAGTAACTGTAGTGGGCAATTCTGTAAAAAAAGCAATAAGAAGTTTAGTGCAAGCATTGGCAGGACTTGAGAATAATGAATGGAAACAAGTGGTTATATTGATAGATGAATATGATGCACCAATATTAAAGGTATTGGAAAATAATGAAAAAGGATTTGATGCAGCAAAAGAAAATCAAAGCATTCTTCGCCTCTTCTTTGAATCATTGAAAGCACTGGAGGAATATATTCAGTTTGAGTTTGTTACTGGTATATCAACTTTTGGTTACATGTCATTATTTTCTGGAGCAAATGATCTTGAAGATGTTACAATTGATGAGTTGTTAAATGGTGCCTTTGGTTTTACTTGGGAAGAAATAGAACATACAGCTTCACTTTTTAATCAACTGTCGGGTGACCCAAATGAGATAAAGGACTGGTATAATGGATATTTGTGGGATGGAAACACATTTGTCTATAATCCATACAGTATATGCATGCTAGCAAAACACAAGGTTTTTAAGAATTATTGGGTACAGAGAGGTTCAACAAGTTGGTTGCTGAAATTTATTAACAAAAATTCTAATTTTAAAAAGTTCCTTGATCAACAGCAAGTTTCATTAGATTTATTTGGAAAAACTGATATAGCACAACTAAAAAATTCAGGTACTTTTAATTCTTCAATTTTATTCCAAGTTGGATATCTCACTATTGTTCAATACAACAAAACGGAAGCTTTGATTACACTTGAACCTCCCAATAAAGAAGTTCGACAATCATTTGCTAGTGATCTGTGGTCTTCCTTTTCTGCAACTAATGATGTAGATGCATTTGACAGACTTAAAAAACTTTCTAATGATTTGCAAAATTCATCAATCATGAAATTCTGGGAAGACTTTAATGTCATATTATCATCAATCCCACATTTTGCTTCTGCTATAGCTGGTAAATATGAAGGTTACTATCAATCTCTTGTTCATCTGACTGTGCATTTTATTGGAGTTCCATTTCGAAGTGAAGATTCAGGTAGCATAGGAAGGACAGACATGTGGATTGAGACAATAACTCATGTTTTCTTTATTGAATTCAAAAAATCTGATACAAAGGAATATACAATGATAAAAAAAGTTGCAGATAAAGGTTTAGACCAAATATATGATAGGAAATATTACAAATGTTTCCCTAATGATAACAATAAGATAACTGTAGCAGTTAGTTGTGTTTTTTCAACTGTAACCAAACAAATTGCTTGTGTATTAGAACAGGAATTTAAATGCATTAGTGGTTATGTTAATAAAATGGAATGTAAGGAATTAAAGTTATAATTTATAAGAGAAAAAGGAATTTTACTTTTAGAAAAGTCTTTATTGGATTAGTTTCATCAAGGATTTTTAGAAGTTCAATATAATAAAAAAAGCATTTGAGTGTACAGTCAAAGCTCATTACAGTGAACCCCTCAGTTCCTAAGATTTTGTTTACTGTAATGAAAAATCTCTTTATAGTGAACATATTATATAACTTAATATAAGGCTAACTGTAACAAGAGTTTTTTATTTATAACCAATAATAAATATTATAATAAAAAAAATAAAAATAATGTAACAATTTGGTTTTACCTGTATTTAGTAATTTGTGGTTATTATAAAAGTATTGAATTAAATTTCATGATTCCAGGACATACCAAATTCAAATGTGATGGTAGCTTTGGTTTAATAAAAAAACTCTATAGAAGAACAAGAGTAGATTGTCTGGATCATGTGATTGAAGTAATAAAAAAGTCTAGCCCAGCAGGATTAAATAAAGCTCAATGTTATGAAGGTGGAAAAGGGTTTCAATACTTAGATATTAAAGCTATTTTGGGAATTTATTTTAACAAATTGCCAAATATACAGAAATATCAACATTTTCTTTTTGAAGCATCTAATCTTGGTACAGTGAAAGTTCAAGAAGTTGCTAATGGTTCTTTTACTGAATTCAATTTATTGAAAACCAAGAAAGCAGATATCTTTGAAGAAATTAGAACTTTATCTATTTTAATATTAACACCACCTCCTTTGGTTTACATTATAATGCTCACCAAGAGGAAGAAGCTAAAGAATTATTCAAAAAATTTAAAAAAAATTTGTCCAAAGCAAGATTAGAAATTATTATAATAAAAATACTATGTTAGCAGAAGAACAAAGAAAACTAGTTAATCAAAATTATTCCCAAGGTAAAACACAATATTGCAGTACTAATGCTACTGCTTATTATAGTTATGATTGTTTCCATTAACTCATTGGATTCCAAATGAACTACATTTGATGCTTCTTATTACTATTACTAATCGTCTTTGGAATCTAATTTGTCCGAAACAAATTACCAAAGTTCTGATCAAATAAGGGAATAAATAAAAAATGAAATGCTCAGAATTGGTGTACATTTTGAATTTTGGAAAATCACGGGTTCAAAGTGTTGGGAACATACCAGTCTTATGGGTAGAGATTAAGGCTCCGAACGGATCAGTTCAAACTGAGGAATTTTGATTCGGTTTCAGTTTGAACCGAACTGTTCAGAGCTTTAGGCTAAAAACTACTTGGCAGTTCCTGGTATTCTAATTTTTATACTTTGCTTATTCATAATTAATTTTATTAATTTCTAATCTAATAACAACTAGTGAACGAGTTTTTTCTACTTAATTACTCAAAGGCATTGTATTTTAAAACCTGAAAAAATAAGAGTTTAAAAGTTTGCAGAGACAATGAATTTTATATATGATCTCTATCGAAATATTTGTTTCATTCGTTATGAATATTTGAATTAAATTGAAGGTTTAGTCAAATGGGATGAATAATTCGAATAAGAATTTGTATTACTCTAAAACAAAATTTTGTGGTGAATCTATGAATATGTAACGATCAGACATATAACTGACCAGCTGTATCTAAACATGGTATTATGTATAAAATTCAATATGATCTCCATTCTAATTTGGTAAGAAATGGACCATTGTTACCATGGTATAAAAATTATAGATTATGTATGTATTTAGAAATAGGATCCTTCCAGCATCTCTACTTTGCAACATATTCGTTAAAACTAAGCTACAAGTTATTATAAATTTTTTGAATTTTATATTTTGCATAGTTAACGAATTTAGAATGTCTGAAATTTTTTGGGTTAAATGTAAACTGAAAAACCAAACCGTTCAGAGATAAATTAAAAGTTCTAAAAAATTACAATTTAGAGAATGTCTTGCTTGACAATAGAGCAACTATTATTTGTCAGTCGTGGAACGATTTTTGATGATCTTTATACAACCTTAATATAATATGTTTGCACCCTTACGATCTACATATAAATTGTCACGTGATTACCCCTATCCTTAAAAACAACGCTGTTTAAATTGACTACTGCAATTCAATCATTAACACCAAAGGAACAAAATTAATTATTTCACAATAAAAGCTATTTGTTTGTTTATTTATTGTTGTTTTTTGATTTTAGTATTAATGCATGGTTTCTATTCATAATACAGTCAGAACTTGTTAAACTGAAGTCAATATTTTCAAAAAAAAACTTCAATTTAAAAAACCTCAATAAAATCGACTTATTGAGGCAATTTGATAGGTAGATAATAAAACAACATTGGTTTATCATGTATATTCAGTTTATCAAAGCATTGTCTTAATGAGTTCTGACTGTACGTTTCATTCATTTTATTTGTTTTATTTGTTTTATTTGAATTATTTTTTACTCAAATTGTTTGTTTTATTCAAGTAAACCTTATTGGAATAGAAACCCTAGCTACTGCTCAAGATTATGATATTATTTTAGTATTGCAATTGAGAAAGCTCCTTACAAAGAGCTTTAGAAATATTTAACCAATAATTTAATTACAATATAAGAGTTATTGGTTTATTGAATTAAGCCAATAATTAACTAAAAAATAGGATTAATTTTAGAAGAATATCTGATAAAAATACTAAGAATATTATTAACTTATCAGTATGCCAATACCTTAATTATTTTTTTTAAAGAATAATCAGATTCTGATATTTACTGATACCCCATTACCCAATTTGGCATCATTCAACCAGTAAAAAGAGGACCAATAGATTATGTATAAGCAAAGAAAAATGGGACTCTAAATTAGCACAAAAGAATTTTAAATCATGCACAAACATAACAGACAATTGCATCACCCAGGTAGTAATAACACCAAGGCCATGCATAAACGAAACTTTTAATAATGCCTGTCTACCCAGATCTCTGGGGTTCACAAAATAAATTACTTTTCCTGATTATCAATTATGGTTGCTCATGAATAATAAACCTGATGTTGATCACAGGTATCAGATTTAATTAAAACTTTCCTGACACAAACAAGTCAACAGGTGCTTTCACACCTCCTCATAACCATGGAATTTTTTCCACAGGCAAGGTGAAAACAAGTTGGAAGGCTTTGGACAAAAACTTTCCACATCTTCCTCTCAGACCAGGCTTGGTATTGATCACTGACAGCTGGTGCTTGTGTGATAATTGCTTTATGTTCAAAATTCTGCAACTCGGGAGATTGCAACCACAACCTGGGTTGCTGTTTTTGGATTTTCCCTGGATTCAAAGTTTTGAGTCCTGGGTTGCTGTCTGGTCAGTGGCATGTCTACTCACCAACAACCCTACCCCCATTCAAAAAACAAATTCAGTTGGTCAAATAAAAATTAAAGAGAAGCAGAAAATTTGGGAAAATGATTAATTTATAACATAACATACCAAACAAAATCCGAACCATTTTTATGACTTTTTTCTTTTTCTTGTTGGCCATATTGCTGACAAAGATGTATATAATCATGCAATAATTTTAATCTATAAGACAGACCCAAAATTTTAAATTGGTTAGTATCAGAGAAACAGAGCATTTAGGAAAATGATTATACAAAACAAACACTACTTTACAACTTTCCTCTTAACATCAGAACCCAAATGCAATTTCAGGGCCACCAACTCTGCTCTGAATTGTGACCTCCTGTGCTTGAACGAGCTACAGATTCTCTTAATATTCATCAGCAGAGTTGCGACTTGGTCACAGTGCCATCCTTACCCTAGAGGTGGGATCATTGCAGGTAACTTTTCGGCTAGCATGCCAGCAGCCTTCTCTGGTCTGGGAAGATTAGTGAAAGTGTCATTGACAATTGGTGCAGTCTCGGTAAACTCCAGGGCAGAGCGACCCCCCCCCTGGAATTTAGTTGCATCATTGTATCATTGGAGGAGGCAAGTCAGATTAGCCTTGTGCACACGAGGAAGATGAGAATGACTAATGTGTTCAAGGCAGCGTGAGTGCTTCAACGTCTGCTATTTTCCGATAATCAAACATCACATTTCGAAATTGTTTCTTTTTCAACAGTCAATGCTGCCTCGACATCTTCTTGTAATTATAATATTATAATTAATATTATTAATATTAATGATTACGAAAAGCCAAATACCAATCGTTCGTTGTTGATAAGAATCTTATAATTACCCAGCAATGATCTGCTCCGCGTTTTGATTTCCAATTAAAATATTTATAAACTAAAATAAAAATATCAATCAATACAAATAAAAAAAGTACCTCTGGTTAGTTATTAACACCTTTTCTTTAGGAGACCCAAACCAAACCAAACAACAACGTTCACGTTTTGTCACCTTAGACTCTGTCAAAAAATAAATTGTTTTTCCAAAAAAAAAAAAAAAAAAAATCAATTCGCGTCTGTCCTACCAAAAAAAAAACCAAAAGGATAAATAATTAATGACGTGTTTGTCGATCAAACAAATCTTTTATTTTCTTTAAAAATGTCATTCGAAAAGAATACAAAGAAGAGAAACCGAGAAAATGTCAAAGGACAACACAAGTAAATGTTTTAAGGATAGTGGTGGTGGTTATCGCCCGCCACTCGTCGTCACTCTAGTTGGGAAATTTAAGAACTTTTCTAATAGAAAAATCTTGTTAATCTCTTTTTTTTTAGTCCTCAAAAAAAAATTGAAGCAACCTCCTTGTCAAAAGAAAATCAAGAACAGTAAGCACATTAAAATATTATCTTGAGTTGGCTGATTTATATATCTTGCAATTTAAATTATTTGCATCCATCTTTAGATTATTACAAATTAATAAAATGTTAGAAAAAAAACTGAAAATTATTAATTATATAAATAGCGATTTGATTGATTTATTATTGTTGTATCCTTTTTAACATTAATGGACACAAAGAACCTTTATTATACACATATTAAGCCTTAACTAATTTTTATTATGTGTTTTCCAGGTATGGTGAAGATATTAAGTTGGAGGAAATGAATATGTTCGATA